CTTCCACTTCCTCATACAGCATATTTTCTTCGAGTGCTTGTCCCTTCTACAATAACGATGTCAAAGACGATTTAAAAAGGTATGGTCTTAAAAGACAACCGTAGCTGTCTCCAGCGCTCACCTCAGTGCGCCGTACCTGCGTCGTCCCGACATGACCCATTTTCGGAGCGTCTAGTGTCTAGAGTTTTTTCAAATTTCGCTTTGAAATTTTAATTATATATTCTTGAAGTATTATACTAACGAATTATGAAAAAAAAATTTGTTTTTAAGGTTCTAAAGGTATTTCCCCCTTTAATTGCAAAAGGATATATTAATAGTATAAGAATAAGGATGCAAAAAATAATAACATGAGAAGTACAATGAACTGAATGAGCTATTTCACAAATATTTTAATTTGCGCATTTTTCTTGAATGCTAACTGTGTGGTCTTTTATATACATATGGATTTTTATGTTTTTTATACATCGATCTATCACTGAATACATATACATATATATATATTTACGATTCTACCAATTTCCATACATAGAATATTTTTCATAACTTAATCGTGAACATGCTGGAAGGGAGTAAAAAAACTAATTTTTTTATATTAAAATTAAAATACAGCGAGTGTAACTGCACAAATAAACACTTCAGTTCGTATCTCAATGTCTATCATACGATATCGCTTTCTTTATACGATAATCTTTTACAGCCGGTTGAAACCAGCTCGAATAAAAGCTCGACGACGCGACGGCGACGTTCGTAACGTATCAAAGCTGAATAAAATCTGTCCAGAGTGGGATCTGTCCTGACGCCGGCGGCCGTCATGACGATAATTGGATTGCACTAGTCAGTTTCATACGTGATAACGCTGGAAGACGCGCAGGGAACATAATCGAATGAGGTGCACCCGCGAATATGCATTGACGGCGAGGTCGAGGTCGAGAAGAAAAAATGTCGTGGACGTGAAAAAATTGTAAAACCAATCAGCATCCATGATGTAGACTCGTGGGAAGCAACGCAAGTTGAACCGATTGTGAAGATTTTTCATGACTCCTTGAGAGCGAAGAGAAGGTGATCGTCTCTTCAGTAATGTACGGCATTTAGAAAGAACTTTAAAATGTATGGAGAAAGGGGAAAAAGAAAGACAGAAGAATTTTACGAGTATTATATGAATCAATGTTCGAGTATCCTCTGTGTCCTGAGATTTTCTTAACGAAAGATTGTCAAGCAGTAAATAGTTCACAAATTTGCATTCGAAAGTTCGCCCGACACTCTGCGGCCTATTCATTTGTCCTACTCGAAATTATGAAGCGCGATAACTGAAATGCTATTTCTTTTATTTATTCAACGGCGCGCAGTGAACTGCTATATTGTCACGTTTCTGCCGCAGATGCTTTAATCGCTACTGGATTATTTTTATTGAATTTATATATTATCCTTATTTTTCTCATGTTTTGTTTTCCCTTCGGAAACACGTACATACATGAATTGAAACGTCAACTCCTCGTTTGTTTTGTTAGTTTGAATACAACCAATATGTATAGCTGTCTCTTGATTCACGTTGCAGATTTTTTTTTTAGAACGGATCTGAATGTTATGGTACGAAAAAGCACAGAGTAACAGAATTTGAAAAAAACATCTGCGACTTCCTATTTTGTATGTTTAGTTAAATGATTTTTCAGATTTTTCACCATACGAACACATGTAGAAATAAATATACTGCGTAATTCTAGAAATAAACTTACATTCTTGTACAATATATAAAAAAATATAATCTCAAATTATTTCTATATTTTTTCAAATTTCAAACCCAAAATAAGACTGAATAACTATTATAGCAAAGAAAAATTTGAAACATTTTCTTTTTTTGGAACACTCGATTTTTTAATAAAATGATCAGGGTAGCGTCCAAAGATCGTGATTGGCTGCAGATAATTCTTAATTAAATATGTCTGTTGATATTTACTTAAATATCAACAGATATATATTTTCCTTACTCCTTTTTGATTATGTTTCGTTTTTCAACCACTGGAATAATGTACTGCAGAAAGGCGAAATAGGCTGTAAATAGGTTATCAGGTGACATTAGTCGGAGCTGCGTAGCGTTATGCGATCAATCGGCTTTGAGGCATGCAACCACGGTGATTATTAATCCCAGCAAAGAGGGGTTTTACTGACGCAACGGGATTAAAACTCGATTCACCCGCACGTACGCAAGTATCCTCTCGATGGTAAAGGATTGCATTGGATATTCATGTGCGTCCTTTAAAATAAATACCAGGGGAAGAGACGTCAAACGAAATTAAATTTCTAACAATTATAGCGATTAAAAAAATATTTCAGACCGCGTTTTATTTCGATAATAACGAAATATTTTTACGCAAACATCCGTGGAAATTGGTATATGTGTACAGATTATTGGTGACATTTCAAAATCTGATTGATTATTTCCATTGATGATGCCGAATTGATTTTGAATGCAGTTTCCAGGTCCAGTTTAATTTTGACCATGGTATGATTGTGGTACAGTTGTGTAACACGATCCTTTTTAATCTGTTTTCCATTTTCCAATTTTCGAGAATGCTCGGTGTTTTACATGGCGGAATTGTTGCCAGTCTGTCACGCCTGCGCCGTATTTGCGGCAAGCTACAATCGATAGCGTATGTCGCGACCGAGTTTATCGAGAGATCAACATGATATATGTCGTTAAAGACGATCGACTTTCCATCCATTCGCAAATTTTATTGTTACAAATTTGCCGGTATTCACTGCAGCAAAAATATTCGATTAAATACACGCGTTAATAAAATTTTTAAATCATTCCATTATGCAGCGTGTTTTTGAACTGAGAGCGCGGTAAGTTTTATGATAACTTATAAAAAAAACTAAACGAATAATAAATAATTAAATAATATAACACTTTTTTTGTATAAATTGAAATTTTATCCTGATTGGAAAAAGTAATTTAATATCCAAAAAACTGGAATGTTATTTCCAAAAAATTCAGAATTAATATTATTCTCTGAATATTATTTCTTCTGTTGAAAATTTATTTTTCTCTAAGCGTTATAATACAACTGCTTAAAACGTAATATTTCAGCGAATCTGGATATTTTAAGAAAGCTCAGGAGAAATAGTATAGTCATGCACAGAATATAATATATACACCTAACGTAAATCCATCAGGGTAACAATGATCCCTACGACGGTTTCAAGTTGGATGATGTCGACAACTAAATGAAAATGTAACAAGCAGCATAAGGATAGACCCAGTAATTTCTCTATGTGATGTAGAGATGCAGATACTATTTACGCGATGACAAATACATACAACACCTTTTTCTATGTAAAATACGTGGAAAATACAAGAAATACTTGACTTCCAGGTATATTACAAAGATAGCCAGACAGTTTTTCCGGAACAGAAAGAAAAAAGCGAGATTAAAAACGTGTATACGCGTTGAAAAATACATACATTTTTCGAGTCGACGATAGTGGCAGGCTTTATCGAGAGAATATATTTTTTCTCCTCTCTTACAAAAGAGAAAATATTGCATTGAATTAACTCGACCATGTGCAATTTAATTCACCTATCGAAAGAATGTATTCTAAAATACATGAAATAATAATTGCAGTTAGCCCATGCATTCGCAATAAACACTAATGATACATGTTCGCAGAACACGCAGTGCGAATGGAGTTTATTGCATCATTCATCACAAAACAAAACAAATAAAAAATCAAAAATAAAAATTCTATTTTTTCAACAGAGAATATATGGTTTCCGATACCCAAAACCATAAAAGTTTGCGCCTATTTTATAATTTTTAATAATTTTCAATCGATTATTAATTATCTTTAGTATGTTGCATGAAGAAATTGATATAATAAATATGAATATTGAAGTAAATTAATAAAATAATGATGGAGCATTGTCCAAATTACACATTATCTATTTTATAAACTATCATTTGTCATCGTATCAGGTTAGATCGCGACGTGATAGTCAACTATTTTAACCCTAATTGCTTCAGGGACCGAAACTGCGAGATTCCTTCCCACAGCGATTTCCTCTAGTAAAACTTTAAACAGACACTTAACTGAAATGTTATTTAATAATATAAACGAGACTTATGAAATTGTTAATTAAATTATATTGCAATTAAAATAAACTTCAAAATCTGTAAATACATGTATGTATCGGATAGTTAATTTAATAAATTTAAAGCTTGTGTTCAATAAGATATTTAATCTGATAATTATATTGTAAATAAAATAAACTTCGGAATTTCTAAATACGTATATACATTGAATAGTTGTTTTAATATATTTAAAGCTTGTGTTTGGTGGAATATTTAATCTGACAATTTTAATCATCATATTTTAATTACAACGTTTAATGAAGCAAGAAAAGCTTAAATACATTGAAAAACAACAAATAGAAATGGATGCTAATTAATAAAATCAGTCAATATCATTGATAACTATGGATTGAATAATATTCCTTTGTAATGAACATGCTACGGAATTAGTGAGCCTCATCCCTTGGAGAAATTTCCATGATACAAACGCGTTCCATTACAAATGCCACAGCCTGCAAACACGTGTCGCACGTGCCTGCTACGCTCGCGTCAGCTTGCTAAAATCAACGAATTCTATTTATTATGAAACATAATTAAAATCTCGTTTGATGTACATTTTTGACAATATTTTATCGCACGTAGAAATATTTGTTTCAGATAGAAACAAAATGTGTGAAAAAAAGAAAGAGAGAAAGTGAACAGTTCGATCATTTTTATACAGAACTGAAAACTGGTTAGCATAGATACGAGATGTCGATTCCACATCACTTTCAAAATCTTACTTTATAATTCACGAAATATAATATTCACAGAACATATATAATATTCGAATACGACTTGACATATGTATAATATTTGCATATATGTCCTGTAAGTATCATATTTTGTGAATTATAAATTATATTAAATATTATATATATATTAATATATTTGGAACTTCTGAAAGTAGTATACGTTATATATACTTACATACGTATACATATATATATGTATATATGCATTACTTTCAGAAGTTCCAACATAGTTGAAAGCTTCATCCGCTGCATTAGTATAAGGACAGAGCGAAAATTCGCTGAAAAATTTCGCGGCGGAGAATCATACCCCGTTT